CTGGGGGATGAAGGGATTGAGAGCAGCCCTGTGGAGAAGGACTTGGGGATTCTGGTGGATGAAAAATTGGACATGAGTCGGTAATGTGCCGTATCCTGGGCTGCATAAAAAGAAGCATGGCCAGCAGGTCGAAGGGGGTAAATCTCCCCCTCTACTCCACTCTGGGGAGACCCCACCTGGGGCACTGCATCCAGCTCTGGGGTCCCCAGCACAGGAAGGACATGGACCTGTTGGAGTGGGGCCAGAGGAGGCCACAAAAATGATCCAAGGGCTGGAGCACCTCTGCTATGAAGAAAGGCTGAGAGGTGGGGTTGTTCAGCCTGGAGAAGAGAAGGATCTGAGAACACCTTATTGCAGCCTTTCAGTATATAAAGGGGGCTTATAAGAAACACGGAGAGAGACTTTTTATGAGGGCCTGTAGTGATAGGACACGGGGCAATGGCTTTAAACTGAGAGTGGGTAGGTTTAGCTTGGACATAAGGAAGAAATCTTTTACAAAGAGAGTGGTGAGGCACCGGAACAGGTTGCCTGGAGAAGCTGTGGATGTTTCATTCCTGGAAGTGTTCAAGGCCAGGTTGGACAGGGCTTCGGGCAACCTGATCTAGTGGGAGATGTCCCTGCCCATGGCAGGGGGGTTGGACTCGATGATCTTTGAAGGTCCCTTCCAACCCAAACCATTCTATGATTCGATGATTTTATGATTCATCAGCCACTGAATCCCTTCTATAGCCAGTGTAACCAGGAATATAACCAGGGGCATAACTACTCCTTCTGGACTTTTCTCCAGGCCTTTCTCTTTCTGATTCTCTTCATTCTCCAGCCTTTACTAGATGCAACTTTCTTCTCTCTTCTGTTAAGAAGTCAGGCTATGGACATGAAAACCATTTCAACTGCCAGGCATTACAATGTCAGTGCTCGGGGATTCTTTCTGTTATTGAAAAAAGGGTTGATTTTTTCTACCTAGGATCATTACAGAAGCAAGTAATAGAGCAGTCCACTCAACCGCTGCACTAGCAGAATGAAGGATGCTGCAACATCACGGGGAGGTGCAACACAGTGACGTGAAGGTCACAGCTTCATCAGCGAGGGCAGGAGTGAGCAGAGCGCTGTCCCACGGAGGAGCTGACTCCAGCACTTGCACTACCTGGCGTCAGTGCAGTGCAGCCCCTTACTCCATACAAAGGCTGAAATGCTGACTTCTGCTTTTTCAGCTTTGTTCCTGTTTCATTCGACAGGCCATTTAATCTCATCTAATGGGTGCTGATAAACTCAAACTCCTGTACCTGGCAATCAATTTGTAGTTTTTGCATTGTTACACATTACACGATATACACAGACATACATAATAACAGAAGGACGTCCCATATGATTAAAGAACAAGAAGCAAATAATACATGTTAAGATGCTGCCTGCTGAGGGACAAGGGGGACCAGCTCCCAGAGAAGACTTTCGCTATCAGAAAATGCTTGCTGAACAAGTGAGACAGAATACAACTAGGGGAAAGTATTTGTGTAGTGTTTTTTGCCTTTCCAAATCAAACTCTTCATACTCGTGGAGGCTGCCACAGTAACTTCCCTGTCTTCAAAGTAAGTCCTTGAACAGTTTTGTCCAATTTGGTTTAGTACTCCTGCTCCCCAAACTGTCAGGACCCAAGAGCTTAGCCCTGGTTCTCCATATCAACAGCTCACTCTTCCAGAAAGGCTACCTGCCTTTCCAAACAGCCCAGCTGCACTGCTGCTGTTCCTGAAGCTGCTATAATCTTCTTGTCAGTCATCTGATTGTGAGAGCAGCCTACTCAATGTTTAAGCTCCTCCAAAGAGGCTCAAATTGAAGTCTTTCACCTTTTAGGAGCAGGCAGAAGACTTCCCATCTGTAGCTCCATCCACCCCTGCAGGATCTGAATCCCGGCTCAGAGCAGGCGGTCCCAGGAGGCCTTTTGGAACTTATTTCTTACTTTTCACCTTGAAACACTGGAACGAAGAGCTTTGTTTATAAATGCTTTGCTGTAGGACTTCCTGAGAGAGGTTTGGTCTTTAGTAATGTCCTATGTGCTCTTACACTCCAGGGGATGGTGCAGCAGTGACCTGGATCGTTCACGGTTATTTGGGAACAGATCTGCTAAGCAGAGTGGGGGGGTGAGGCAGGTTCAAACATACTGGTGAAATTCTTTTTTTCTCTTTCTGTGCTTCTCTGCTGTCATAGTTTCCTAGCTTTAGAAGATGTAATTAATACTAGAACATGTAATTAATATGACAAGACAGAAAACCTTATCCAAGCATACCAGCTCACCCTGTGTACCTTTGAGGTACGTGACTTGGAACATCACCTTGGCAGTAAGGGACCGAGGAGAGGAGAAGGCAGCTTTCATCTCAGAAGCAAGTACCACTGATGCTGAGGGTGGGGAAGAGGGGACCCCAGGGACCAACACGATATAACCCAGAGTGACCTTACTGAAACCTGTCCCAGACGGAGCACCCAAGGAGCCTTGTTTAGCTGCAGAGGGACGGGATATTTTGACAAGAGAAAGGGTGCAGCAGAAGCCAGGCTGACATCTGGGTGCTGATCAAGGTAGGTTTTTATACTATTTACTTATTTGCACTCACATCCTGGGATGTGCCTAGAGCTACAGAGAGGTGACAGGCTCGCACAGCTCTCAACACGTTGCTCATCAGCATCTGGCAAGATACCGTCTTACCCAGAGACTTTTCTTTACAGCAGCTGACAGCCTTATCACTTGTATTTCAGCAAAGCTGGAAATATTCAGCCAAGGTTGAGGCTCCACACTGGGTAGGAGCTTGTACTGCATGAACATGGACAACGCCTCCTGGCCCAAAATGGCTTCGTGTTTAAACAGATAAAAAGCAAAGCATGGGAAAAGGAGGGATTATTATCCTTATTTTAGAGACTGAGATTTAAAGCCAGAGAAGTGACCTGGCAAAATTAGAGGCAGATTCTCCAGAAGCAGGAATTGAATATTCAGTCCCAGTTTTGGGCTTTAACTACGACATTGACCTTCTTTCTCTGTTTCCCAGTAAAGCCCCAAAAGACTCTGCGCAGGCTGCTACGCCTCATAATACGCAAAGATGACTAGTGGCCAGTAGGTCTCTTATTTTCCTTCTTCCCTCGAGTAGGTGTACTGGATTTGTGCTGAATTAGTGGAAAACAGGCAAGGCTACAAGTCTATCCCCCAACGTCGTGCCAGCTTCAATGCCAGAGCAACTACAGGAGGGGGAATAATCCACACCTGCAGGAGAGCTGCAGAAGCTGCTGCTCTCCGGAGGAAGGGGATGCAGTAGTCAAGTTCTGACGTTCATCTTCTCCAAAACTCTTGTTCTTGCAAATGGACCAAACGCTTGCAATCCCGTGCTGCTCACCAGTGCTATATTCCTCTTCTTGTGCCTGTACTGAACAGACTCAGCTCAGACTGACAACTGGCCTCCGACCATGACACAAGACTGTCTGGGCTGCCTGGAGAAGGCCAGCTTCCCAACTGTTTTTACTGGTCATTCGAAGCTAGACAGCAACGGGAGTGCCTGGGCAAAGTACAAGGAGATAGAAGGATACCTTCTGTGGCCCTGCAGCATACTATCATCTACCTTAAATTACAATAAGTAGATGCTAAACCAGTCACAAATGTGCAATGATTAACATCATGTTCCTGGCCATGAACAGCTGAAGTATGTCGGGATTAACCGTGGTCAGCTGATATAGCTTCAATGCTCTAATTCTGTTCTTCACTTGGAAGCACTCATGGAAGCATCACATTGAATAACTCACTCCACAGCACACACTATCTATGCACATAAAAGGGCCAAGCCAAATTACAGCCCCTAGGCTAGCTATTGCAGATATTGTTCCTTTCAAGAACAGTCATGCAATTTTGGTCTCTGTCCCAAAAGGACAGAGTAGAACTGGAAAAGATGCAATGAACAGCAAGAAAGATGATCAAAGGTCTGGAAGGGGTTCCATGTATGACACAAGCTGGCCCTTATCAGGCTTGGTAAGCCATGACAGAGGGGGAATATGCAACTGTCCATAAAATCCTCAGCGGCCTGGAGAGGATGGGTGAAGATCAACTGTTTACTGCCTCTTCAAATACAAAAACTAGGGGAAGCACTAGGGGCATCACTCAAAACAGCAGGATGAAAATTCAAAATTAATCAAGGTGATGGGCCTTCAAATGAGGGATAGACAACCGAGGGAAGTGCCTCTCAGGAAGCACCATGGATGCAAAAAACGTATTCAAAGGGAAAGTGAACACTTTCATGGAAAAGAAATCCAGTAAGAATCACTCAGCACAAAGACAGCACATCTAGCTCAGAAGACACTTGGCTGCGTATGACTGAAGGCTATGGTGAAGTATCACACACGCGTCTGCAGGCAGATCCCGTGGGCCACTGCCAGACACAGAACACCCCACCAGGAGTTTTGGTCTGACCCAGCATGGTTGCCCTTGGGTTCCTGCAGGTACAAACCGCTTCAAGGCAGACGCATGTCAATCTGGGCTCCGACACAGCCTGGATACGTACATACAGACACACAGACATCAGATAGCCTTATGGTGAGCTGTGACTGCTATCACAGCAGCCACCTTCATGTCAGGGATACAGGTCCTCCACATGGTCGCATCTCACAACCACTGACATAAACCACATTTGCGTCCAGGCGCTGTGCCGCAGAGCTGCGCCCAGCCCAGCAGCATACGCTCTGTGCGGGGGAGCCACAGACCTGGAGCTCATCAAGAGGGAAGAAAAGCAGGAAAGAAGGACAGACTGAAACACGCAGGGAGACGTAACAACGAATGGGAACAGCATGGTCGCGCTCAGCAGCACACAGACGTCTGGGTCTCCTGGTTAAATACCCTTGATTAAAAGTGAAGAGCTAAGAAACCTAACATAAATTAATTTTCTCTTCCTTATTGCAAGTTGGAAACTGCAAAGAAAAAAAAAAAAGGTAAAAACCAAACTCTGCTCTGAATGAAGCAAGTTTGGAGTGCCCACCTCTCTGAAGAGCGCGCCATAAAACTGAACAATATACGGGCAGTCACTGCTTCGCATTACTACATCAAGGTCCATCAGAAGCTGCTTCTGTTCTTTTTCATCCACTGTCGACCGAATTCTCTGAAAGAGGAAGAGTGGCAGAGACTTTATCACTTACATGCCATTACTGTATCCTCAGACTCGCTTCTGGAGGAACATGCCAGGGACCCCAAACCCAAGGTTGAGCAGGCAATCCCCAAGGCATGCTCAAACACACTCTAGAGAATTAAGCTGTGCTCTCAAATAAGAAATACAACTCAAAACCCCTAAAGCCATTTAATTCAGACTATAAAATCCCCAGTCCTCTCATGAGCATCAACATTTTCAGATGAATGTCAGAATGAAATTAAAGAGCAGAGATTTCATTGAAAACTACAGCAAAACAACATATTCAGGCTTTCATTTCAAAACAAATTCCCACACAGTTCTTAGCCATGTTGGATGGGGCTCCAAGGCTGTTTTGAAATTTAACCAACGAACATTATGTTTAAAATTTCTACGACAAGCACAGAAGACAAAAAGGCTCCTTCCACCATGCCTCCACCATGGCGGGCACGGTGAAAAGGGACCATCACATAACCGAGGGAACACATTGCTCTGGTAAGGCTAATGGTGGGCAGCAGTCCCATGAGCTCTTCTCATAAAACTAACAATTCTTTACCTAGTACTGGCCTAGAGAACATTAACACTATATAAAAGATATTTTTATATATATATACACACACATATATATATAAATGTATATATACTATGTGTATATAAAGATATATATGTATACACACACTATATTTTATATATACACTATATATAAAGAAAAGTCTGATCCGGGCTTGAAAGAACAACACAAGTTTGAAAATAGAAAACTGTGCATGTTTGAACATGAAGCTTGTTAAACAACGGGTGGAGAAGACCATCCACAGTTTTTCATGTGATTTTACAGACATATTTAACATCTTGCATTGATTAATGCATTTCCTGAATCACAGGTGAGGAAAATTGTGATCCTGAAGGTGTGACTCATGTTGAAAAATCCTTTAAAAAAAAAAAAACAAGAAAAAACACGTTTGGCAAGAAGTCCAAAGCAACAGAGGTAGCCTGGACCCTCCTTGAGGAGAAAAACTACTTGGCTACCCAAGAAAGAAAAATTAATTTAAGATTGTGGGAAAAATCTGCAAGATACCAGCACCCACTCCCACCGACACTACTGCCCTGTGAGCAACTTCTGGTGGCATCAAGACCACAGGCATCAGCAAGCACAAGACTAAGTATATGAAGGTACTTTCAAGGTTGGCCGTTCATATTGCACCATTTGAGAAACAGGGCATGATTATGTACCTTAAGACTATTTTGTGATGACCCACACAAAATGAGGACAGCATCGACACTATAATTTTCCTTACCTTTGGTGTATCCTGATATTTTGGTATTTCACCACTCGTTCTTAACGTTCTAGTAGCTCTAGTTTGGCCTAGACCAGTAATTGTCATGTTCATATTGCCCTCTTCCCTCCCAGTGAATTCTAGAGTACTTGGGAAAACTGGCAAGAGACTTGCCCAGCACACCCATAATCTGTAACATCCACACCCTGCGATGCCACTGAGCGGGTGGGATTTTGTAGTCGCAAACAGAGCAATAAGAAGGCTCAACGGACTAGTAATGGAACTAAAAATCTTCACCTCTAGGTCACTGGTTCAAGTCTGTTCCACAGAAGTTCAGTCACATCACTGAAGAAAGCCTGACAAGTTTTATTATTTCTTTGTCTTATGTCTATACCATAGAAAGCTCTACAAGCCCCTGCTGAGATATCAAAGGCTGAGCAGATTGAATGCCTCTTTCTAGGTGGCACACGATCAGCACCATGCAAAATGATAATGCCATTGCTTTGACCTCGGTAGAAGACAATGGATGCCAAAGCCACCATAGTGGGACCAATGAGGAGCCTATGAGGAACAGTTCAGTCTCTCACTGAGACGCTACCTACTCCTCTAAAGAGTGCACCTCTGCGGTGAGGAGCAATATCAAAAGGAGCTTTTCTCCATGCTGTAACTCACATCCCCCTTCTGTGCCAACTCCATCTCCTTCTGTCTCCAAAAAGCCTCTGTCCTGGTCCTCCGGGAGCCTCCCCAGCCCCCCTCCGCATTCGCCTTGCATCTGCACGATACTGTCACAGCCATTCCCGCAGCGTGCTCCTCAAGCTCCGCCACTTCCCCTGAAAGCATCCCCTCCCACCTCTGACATTTCCTTCTCTGTTGTTACTTCTCCAATTCTGGAAAGCATGTGAAACATGTTGTATGGAGGAGGCGATTTTAACAGCATCTCAGAACAACACTGAACCCAAAGATTCCTCCTTTTCCCAAGCACAGTCTCCCTAGGGAGAAAGGCCAGGCAGAGGACCCAGAGGAGGGACAGTGGGTCAGCTATGATGCAGAGCATCCAGGCAGACACAAGAGCCAAAGGACACCTTGAGAAGCCAGCACGGACTGACTCCCCAACAACCACTGCTTCAGGGAGTGATGGTAAGGACACAATGCAAGACTGGGAGGTCTCATACAAGAGCTCTGGAGACTGGAGACTGCCAAATTCAAGAGGAGGGGAAAGCTGCCAGGGGCAGCATGCAGCACAGCACTGAGCTGGGGTCAGCCCTGGCTGGCAAAGATGGCTTTGTTTAGCTGGAGCACACCAGGGAGCCTGCTGCATGCCAGCGGTCCCAATTCACCAGCTAAGGAACGAGCGTTCACCAGCGAAACAAGGAAGAAACAGCAAAAGGAGACTGAAGTCAACAGCAGCCACTACCCAAAGAGCACAGGAGCCGTAATGACGACCTGCTACCTAACTCCAAGGCCGAGCGCAAGACACTGCAGCAGCTCCCACAGACAGACTCCCCCAAGAACACGGGAGATGGCAGGGAAGGAAGACACAAGGTGAGGCAACAGCCTGAGGACACCATTTAAGACAGGGATGGACAGGTCTGACTTAGCTTCAGGACTTACATCTCTCAGCCTGCTCACTCTACTGCAGGTGGTTGCTGAAATTTGAAAGAGTGGGTTTTGTAGTAGAGGCTTATGGAAAATCTCATTTTTAATGGTTCCTTGTTGGCCTCAAACTTAAAATGCATCAAATCCTCCAGGAGAAAATCCTCCCACCCTTTTAATACAAACCCAGGTTAGGACAAAGCTTTCTGATATCAGGAACAAGAGCTCTGAAAGCTATGCCCTGGGCAGCATCAACAGCAAAAAGATAAACTGTGCTGTGGATTGGACCACTCTCAAACCTAAAACCAGACAGATCCCAGAAACCAGACCCAAAACAGAGGAGACATCACCCAGCCCTAATACACACACAAAAAGATTCAGGTGCAGTGGGTAGCGAGCAGTTAAAAAAAAGAAAAGGAAAGGAAAGAAAAGAAAAAACAAAGCTATAAACACCAAACTGAAAACCAACTCCGTGAGTTGAAAGAGAACACAGTGCTGTCCTGCACACAGGGCTCACACGCGTCCTCAGCAGAAAGCACAGCACGGCAGCGCTTGGCGGTGTCACCGGAGGGCTGGTGCTCCCTGGGGATGGAGGGACCGAGGACACCAAACCAGCAGGAAAAAGGGGGTTTGCCCACTCGCTGCTGCGGACGAGAGTATTTACCTATCCATCCGAAGCACATTTGCTGCTGACAGAAGTAGGTCAGGTCTTCCACTGATCCCAACTAGCTTCCCACCCCCCGCTAAGGTTCTTGCGCTCTCTCACGATTTCCTTTTAGCCCGGACCCATTCACTCCTCTCCCAGTGCAGTCCCAGCAGGGCTTGGAGCGCTGGCTTCCCCAGCTCTCAGCCAGCTACCCAAACGGATGAGTGAAACAGAAAATTCTGCTCAATAAACCATACGGAGTCAACTTGGGAGAGGGTACCTAATTGTGTGAAAAAGGGAAATGATGATTTGCGATAAAGGCAGCCTGCAAAAAGCCCCAAGACTTCTCTTCAGAAGTCATACGGGAAATCAGGACCGAGAAATTTGCCCCTTGACTGAGCTTAATACACTAATGTGTCATTTTGGTGGGCTTTTATGGGCTATCAGGCATCCAGGTAAGGATGGAGAGATTATGGAGGTATAAATAAATGTTAAATTTCTGCTCTCAGGGATATCTGATACTTAGCAACCTATTTCAGCTGTGAGGCTGGCATCAGATAAAACCTGTGAAAGCCAAAGACGTGAACATCTGTTTTAAAGCTACGGTTGAGACAGTAAGCACTGACTACAAGGCAAAACGATGTGGAAGAGGCACTGTGCTCTGAACAAGAAATGGCTCCACAGCTCACTGGCTTCTCCAGGGAGAAGAGGGGTCTTTGGTGGACACCTCACAGGCTTGGCATCCTGCCCAATTTTATGTATCTCTAAACAGTGCCTTGGCCAGCTTCTCCAAGTACCCAATTGATCTTGAAACTGCTTCTGATTTTCTTAGGACAAGTTTAGAGTAGAAGAAGTGGAAGACCACCTATAGTCTGGTAAAAAACACTGCTAGACTGAAGAGAAAACAAGAAACCAGCAGCAATATCTGAGGTCATTGGTTGGAACTGGAGACTAGACTACGCAATATTGCAGAGCGGGACTAAATCAGAAATACAGAAAATTCTGGTATACGGCTGAAAATCACTACACCTTTTGGGATGAGAGGGAAAACCGAACACGAGGATTGTGGACAAAAATGCCCTCTCCCCAGTTGGCTTACTCTCCTAGGTGTAACTATCTCTGACAGAAAAACAATTCAAAAGAGGTGCAAGATGTTTCCATGGGGCCACAAAGGTCAGCCGAAGCACAAACCACTCTACTCGTCTCTCGATGGTGTATTTTTCAGCCAGTTGAACTGGTTGAAAAGAAATTGGCTGAAGCTGCTAATACCGAACGCCCCAGGTCGGAGGTGCTCCTGCTGCGGGGCAGAAGGGGCCTCCCGGGCCCCCGGAGGGAGGGCTGCTGCCCCCCGCCTGCGGGCTCAGGACACCACTGCCGTGCTCGGGCTCCTGACCCCCACAGGCGCTGCCAAACAGATGAAAGGTTGGCTGATTTAAAGAGTCGCTTATTTATCTTGTGAATTC